TCCCCGCCGATCGCCGTGCTCCCCTAGCCGTGCTCCTGCCGATCGCCGTGCTCCCTAGCCTATCGCCGTGCTCCTAGCCGATCGCCGTGCTCCCTAGCCGATCGCCGTGCTCCCTTGCCGATCGCCGTGCTCCCCTTCGATCGCCGTGCTCCCTTCCCGCCGTGCTTCCCTCCGATTCGCCGTGCTCCTAGCCGATCGCCGTGCTCCCTAGCCGATCGCCGTGCTTCCCTCCGATCGCCGTGCTTCCCCTAGCCGATCGCCGTGCTTCCCTAGCCGTGCCGTGCTTCCTAGCCGATCGCCGTGCTTCCCTAGCCGATCGCCGTGCTTCCCTAGCCGAAGTGCTCCCCCGATCGCCGTGCTTCCGTGCTTAGCCGATCGCCGTGCTTCCCTAGCGATCGCCGTGATCGCTGTGCTTCCCTAGCGATCGCTATGCTTTCCTGGCCGATCGCTGTGCTTCCTAGCCGATCCTATGCTTTCCCTGGCCGATCGCTGTGCTTCCTAGCCGATCGCTATGCTTCCACCGATCGCTGTGCTTCCCTAGCCGATCGCTATGCTTTCCTGGCCGATCGCTGTGCTTCCCTGCCGATCGCTATGCTTTTCCTACGATCGCTATGCTTCCCCGATCGCTGTGCTTCCTAGCCGATCGCCGTGCTTCCCTATCTCTGTGCTTTCCTGGCCGATCTCGTTTCCTTAGCCGATCGCTGTGCTTCCCTGCCGATCGCTGTGCTTCCCTAGCCGATCACTGTGCTTCCTAGCCGATCGCTGTGCTTTCCTGGCCGATCGCTGTGCTTCCTGGCCGATCGCTGTGCTTCCCTGTCGATCGCTGTACTTCCCTAGCCGATCACTGTGCTTCCCTAGCCAATCACTGTGCTTCCCTAGCCATTCGCCTTGCTTCCCTAGCTGTTCGCTGTGCTTCCTTAGCCGATCGTTGTGCTTCCCTAGCCGATCACTGTGCTTCCCTAGTCGATCGCCGTGCTTCCCTAGCCGATCACTTACTAAGCTTTCCTGAACGATCGCTGTGCTTCCCTAGCCAATCACTGTGCTTCCCTAGCCGTTCGCCTTGCTTCCCTAGCTGTTCGCTGTGCTTCCTTAGCCGATCGTTGTGCTTCCTTCATGCTTCCCTAGCCGATCATCCCTGTTCGCTTGCTTCCCTAGCCGATCGCTTGCTTCCTAGCGATCACTCACTAAGGCCGATCGCTGTGCTTCCCTAGCCGATCGCTGTGCTTCCCTAGCCAATCACTGTGCTTCCCTAGCCCTTGCTTCCTAGCCGATCGCCGTGCTTCCTGGCCGATCTGTGCTTCCCTAGCCGATCGCTGTGCTTCCCTAGCCGATCCTGTGCTTCCCTAGCCATCACTGTGCTTCCCTAGCCGTTCGCCTTGCTTCCCTAGCGATCGCCGTGCTTCCTAGCCGATCACTCACTAAGCTTCCCTGGCCGATCGCTGTGCTTCCCTAGCCGATCGCTGTGCTTCCCTAGCCGATCGCTGTGCTTCCCTAGCCGATCACTGTGCTTCCCTAGCCGATCGCTGTGCTTCCCTAGCCGATCGCCGTGCTTCCTGGCCGATCGCCGTGCTTCCCTAGCCGATCGCCATGCTTCCTTAGCCGATCTCTCACTATGCTTCCCTTGCCGATCATTGTGCTTTCCTAGCCGATCACTGTGCTTCCCTAGCCGATCGCTGTGCTTCCCTAGCCGATCGCTGTGCTTCCCTAGACGATCGCTGTGCTTCTCTAGCCGATCACTGTGCTTCCCTAGCCGATCGCCGTGCTTTCCTGGCCGATCGCCGTGCTTCCCTAGCCGATCGCTGTGCTTCCTGGCCGATCACTGTGCTCCCTGGCCAATCACTGTGCTTTCCTGGCCAATCACTGTGCTTCCCTAGCCGATCGCTGTGCTTCCCTAGCCAATCGCTGTGCTTCCCTGGCCGATCGCCGTGCTTCCGTAGCCGATCGCCGTGATTCCCTGGTCAATCACTATGCTTCCATGGTCGTTCGCCGTGCTTCCGGTAATCATTACCGAGAACCAAAACTAGGGTATCATTCGAACCCAAAAACCCAACCTAAACTTTCCTATACCCCCAATTTGTTAGCACTTCGTGCTAGAGTTCTCTTTATCCGTTTATAGAAAACTCTGGTTGTGTGAGGGTGTTCTGGTCTTCTCTGAGCTGTGCCATGCAGCAGACATTTTCGTCATTTACCGGTGAATATGAGGCCGTGGCAGCTTAAGCTATGTCTTTCCTCAATCTATTTCTTACGCCCTATAAGTGTCGATTTCCCTCTATCTCCGTGCATTGCACTCGGTAACCTATACCCCCTTGCCGATCGCCGTGCTTCCCTAGTGCGGTCTTTTATTACACTATAACTAAAAACTTTATATGATTAAATACCTGATTTAACCAACCAGATGATGAGTAGAGTTGTGTAGACCTACTGTTTGATATGCAAATTTTCGCTTTTGCTTACAGTTGGGGCTCTAGCGTTTTAAAATGAGGGTAGAAGCTCAAGAGACCGACACGTGTAGATAGAGCGAAATGGGCACCGCCATCTTATAGAGCGGAAGAAATAGAGTGGGATAGGATATAATATAAAATGCAGAGGCCGTACAGTCACCGCTAGATGACGAAAATATAACGCGAATTTGCCTTTCAAATTTTAAGTCCATCAACTTGTGTACCTTGCGAAGAAAAACACAAGACTGACCGATGAACTACTTTGTGTATTAATACGCGCTTGTCGAAATGATATTTGGCAATTTATCTGTGTCGTTATGCCGTTAAAGTCTTTTATTAATATTATACTTCATTTGCATACTTTGATATTTATCTATACCCTCATATAGAATCGTGGATATCGAGTGTTTCACACTTTCTTGTGTCAGCCACAGGTTGATAAGTCACCAGCCCGCTCATTTCCAGCTAGATCGCCGGTGAGAAAGGTTGTGTTTCCAGTATTGTGTTGATTCTGTTCTTTTTAAGACTTACAGTGACATCGAAGAATAATTAGACTTTAGTAACCATCCCAGTTATATATATGGGCCCATCGAGAGCTCCAAATGATGAAAACGGTGATAAAAATCGAAGCAATCCTGACGGTACAAATAAGCAACGAAAGTTTGACGTTTCTGGATATAAAGGCATTTGGTTTGTTATTTTACCATGTAAATGCAGCTCTATCTTGCCATGCATACCGAGGTGGAGAAAATGTGTCCCGGGGGGTGTTGGAGCGCTTGCCCCCATCAACCCTCCCCTCGGACAGTGCCCGAAGGACCTGTGGCAATTCAATAAATGTTTTGATTTTCTCCTAGTATTGTTTGTGTAAGAGATCACCACTGACAAATCATTTCACGGGTTCATTACACTCTCCGCAGAAGTTCGAATATTGCGTCGACCACGGCGGTACGGCTCACGTACCAACGGGCCACAGGACTGTCGCGGCAAATAACTCTGTGATTTTTGTGATTGGCTCAGTAACTGTGATGTCACAACTTTTGCTTTCTTTGAAGGCTTATATTTGTGCGCATTTACCAATATCCTTTTGCAGCTATCCTTTTAGTTTTGTTATTGTCCACAGACTTGTCATAATGCATTTATACACAAGAATGTGTGAGTGGGGCTATGTGATGTCATCATATTAATGCCAAGAAGCGCTATAAAGCCATCTGTTTTCTTGTATATTTCGGTTATGTCAAGTACCATTGAAGCAAACTCAAAATCTTCGCTGTTATTTCGTCTCAGCACACTTCAGAAAATACCTTTTCATTACGGAAGGTAATGTTATATTTTCCTTGTCTTAGACTCGTTACTGAGTGGGTTAGAATCCATATATATATATATATATATATATATATATATATATATATATTATATATATATATATATATACAGATATTTCGTCTCAGCACACTTCAGAAAATACCTTTTCATTACGGAAGGTAATGTTATATTTTCCTTGTCTTAGACTCGTTACTGAGTGGGTTAGAATACATATATTACATGTAATGAATCGAATGCAAGAAACTTAAATAATATATTCTATATATCTGCCTATGATAACAACGAGATAATTATCCTGTCATTTCTGGTATCTATCAATCTTTGTCATCCATCAACTCGGACGTCATAGCCTACGAAGTCATACCCAATCGATTACGTATCACAGGTTCATACAGTGACGTCATACCTTATGGGGAACAGAATGTGAATAGATTAGAGAGATTAGAGAAATTATTTTAGAGTAATGGTGCGGTAAATCAACTTGAAATTAAGCGTAAATGTCTATTAAAAGATGGATAGTAGCGCACGTGCTACTTTCTCGACAATTTTCTTCTCTTCCAAGCATCGTCCGAGAGATGGGCTGAATATTTTGTGCAGGATTTAATGAAGTCATAGAAATCGTCTCTCTAAATCGAGAAAATACCTACTATTATAAGAAATGGAGAATATTTTAGGTGGAAAAGTCAGAAATGAATTGATGAGTTAATGTAGGAAAACAAAAAAATGCAGAACAAAAATAATAGTCCTCAGTAAATAATAAATAGTGATCGCTGGTGATACTAGGCTTGACGCTCTGGCAAAGACCATTAACTTCTCTTTGTGTATTCCAAGTCTAAAAATTGATATCTTACAAAATATTTACGAAGCAACAACTCCTCAGGATGAGATCTACCAACATCATCTTGCCAGAGTACACTCGGAACATGTTTGTTGGCCTTTGCTGCAATACCGTTTGCATTACGGTGTTTATTGCCTGATTGAGCCATCGTGTTTCATTGCACAGATTGATATGAATAGTATATTTTGTTATTTCCATCTCAGAAGAAACTACACCTTTATTTTCAGCTTCTCAGAGTTTGAGTATTAAAGACATTTATTGTTAATGTCTGCAATAGTCGTCATAAATATATATGATTAGATCTTTTTCATACTTTAAACTATGATCATTTGAAAAATTAGATTAACTTTCCAAATATACATAAATTGAAAAAGGTGCTACAGGCAGCCAGGCAAGCCATGCTCAGTGCAGCATTTGTGGCCAGCTAATTAGAGTGCACGCTGAGAGGCTGTTATGAAGTAATTATACCTTTCCGCGCTTTAGATTTGACTTTCTCGATTAGTTTGCCTGTTGTTCTCCCGTTTTAGTGGAAATTCATATATATATATATATATATACACACACACACACACACACACACACACACACACACACACACACACACAACACACACACACACACACACACACACACACACACATATATATATACATACATATACGTATAAACACACACGTGTGTATTCACACACACACACACACACACACACACACACACACACACACACACACACACACACATATATATATATATATATATATATATATATATATATATATATATATATATATATATGATAAACCATCCATACCATCCTGAGCCTGAAAACCTAATAAGGACGAAGAGCTCAAAGCCTGTCCCCGACGCAGCTGGCTCCTGTACGAGCGCCCTGACTATGACGAGGCGGGGCTGGGCGCCGTGGCATCGGTCATCGGCGAGGGGACGTGTGCGAATCTGCCTCCGGAGCTCACGAAGAAGGTGAGAACAGGGGCGGTCTCTGCCAGCTCTTTCATTTAGGAAGAGAGAGCATAGTTTGTGGGGCTCCGTCTGGTATACTTGCATTACCTTATTTTATCAGGGTTAACGTTGCATTCTGGATTTTGAAACTTATAAAATAGTCAGAAAGGCTTTAATTCCATTTCCGGGGGCCGGATTCACTGACATACGATCGAAACACATTTATCAGAAGGCATTTACCAGTGATGGTAAAATGGGACTCACGAAAAGATGGTAACTCGCCTTGGCTGAGTTACAATCGTATATTGTCTCATTCTAACAGTAGCCAACAGAGGGCACTAAAAAAAGCAATTCCACCAATCAGCGAGCGCCGTACATAACCTTTTAAGTTCCTTCGGCTAACCATGTAATATGTAAACAGAACTGGTCACCGTGATTTTTAAAATTATGGTTGCTGCTAAGACACCATCTAAGCCTTTTTATCGACTAAATAGGAACCAATTCAAACACTTCTATTAGTATATCATTGTTTAGTGTAAACCAAAGAAACAGTCCAAAGAGCTTGTTATTTATGAATTTATTTATTTCTCATTGTTAAACAAAGAACCAGGCCAAACGCAATTTTTATTCATCGCCATCCATTGCCAAAGAAAGGAAATATTTTAAATATTCTTGCCCGTGTTGTTTGGGAATTTGTTATCCTTTGCCAACAAGCCGACAAACAGAAGTTGCCATACTCATATAATGTTGCTGTTGCTAGTTTATCTATTTTTCTATAGAATTTGTAATAACTATGTCAGAGAAGGGGAATTCTTTAAGAGTTCACGAAGCTATTGATTCCATACTTTCTACTGTATAATATAAGCCTATAATTTTAAGAGAATTTGTGATTTTAATTTGTATGTCTTTGCCGTGTTAATGTCCATGTCATGTTTTAAAAACAAACTATTTGCTTAGAGGACGAGATAACACGTGATAACAATGTCTTTCCAGAAGTTACCAGTGGACTTATGAGTGGTCCATACACTGGTAAATTTACCATGGTAACTTTAATGGTAAGTTGTAAGTGAATGCCTCTATGATTACGATCGTAACTGAAGTTACCAGTGATTTTGCCATCGCAAGTGTGTTAGTGAATCCGTTCCCAGACTGGCAGAAAAGTTCTTAAGGCTTGTTAATACTATATCATTATTGGGCTGCCTAAAAAACAAATTATATATATGTGTGGACACACACACACACACACACACACACACACACACACACACACACACACAC